GTTGCGGCTTCTCTTCAAGAAGTGTCTAGCAGGAAATACTCTGAAAACAGAATATTTATTTGTATGGCAGCAGCAAGGTGGCTTAGAAGGTATTTTCATGCTTTTCTGCATCTGGCAAACTTCAGAGAGAAAATAGGTGGTGGTTACCAGAACAGAGCAAAATGGAAAAAAGAAGATCAGGATTTGGGCATTCCAGATTTATACTGACACAACAAGAAAATAGATTTGAGAGGCCCATTTGCAGAAGGACTCATCCGCTGCATGTCACTAATGACTGTCTGTAGGACCTGAAATGGTCTTGACTTACCAGCTCAGTGACCTGTGTGGGATCCAGAAATATCCATTTGAAGTAGAGCAGAGGTACTGACAAGTAAAGAGGCAAAAAGGACTGAATAGTATGTGTTTACAGAGAAAGAAACCACAGCCAATCTGACTGCCTGAGTCGGGCCAAAGCAAAAGGTGAACATCTTCTGAACAAGGCGCTTGCGGGTTTACTTGTTTACAACCAGGGAGAGCCTCTACCTGATGGAGAAAGAATTCACAGAGGAGTAGCTCAAGGTCAGTAGAAAGCTACAAATTATGAAACCGACAACTAGGACTAGCTACATAATATACAGGGTCCACGGCAAAACAAAATGTAAGGGATCCTTGTTCAAAAATTTGACTAAGAATATCAACACTGTGACAGCAGAGGATTAAACAAAGCTTGAGGGACATTCAAAACAGGGCCCTGTCAACTGCACAAGTTACATGTCCATGAAGACAGCCTTTCGTGGAACATATAGGCTCTCAGAGCTGACAACGGGGATGTGGAAGGAGAAGGGGAGCACCCTAACACGTGCAAAAATAAAGACTAAAAGGAAAAGGAGAAGAAGCAGAATGAAACCCTAAAGCAAGGACTCAGCCCTGGTGAGAATGTCCCAGAGGATGACCCAGCTCAATGGGCTATCTGTCTAGATGAATTCTGTAGGCCATTCGATCACAAGTAAATGAGAAAAGGCATTGTTTCAGAAGAATAAAGGAAGTAAAATTAAGGAAAAACTTTTAGCAAGAATTCATTGTAAGAACGGTTCTTAATCTTGTTTTTTTAATAAGACTCCCATGAAAAATCTAATAAAACTGTTGAAACTATGAATCTTCAATGAATAAACTATACACGCTCAAAATCTTACCAAAAAAAATATAGTATCTAAAGTATTTATAGATTGCCTGATCTTTACTATAAGAACTCTTGAATTAGAGTAAGCTTCATCTCAGGTCTGAAAATATCTGTACATTTGTCTCTGGTGAGCAAAATGTTTTCCCTTCATGGTTCTTTTGCAATAGTGTCATGTCTGTAAATGTTGTCCAAGAAGATCAACAGAAAATTCAATAAACTTGTTGTCAGGGAAATTAGCTGAGGTTCATATTATGCTACTGAAAACAGAAAGGATTGCATATATATATTTTGGAGATACAGGGTGTAAATTTATGTGCCTCAGTTTGAGACTTTCATACAATTTCCTCTTGAAAGTTAAAACAAGACATGTTCATACAAATAAAAACAGAGAGAGTTTATCTCCCACAAACTGTCATGGAAAGAACTAATTAAGAGTACCCATTACAAGAATAAAAGTAAGCCCAGCATGAAGAGTGAGATCCAAACAAAGCAGTGAGTCATTGACAAAGGTGGCTAAATTTAAAGGAACATTGATAATAAATAAATATTCAATATAATTATAATTTCAATCATATATAACATGTATAATTATTTCAACAGTCTAGTATTAAATAATAATTTATTATCAATGATTTATTTTATACTTCCACATAACAGCATATAAGATAGAAGCAAAAAGTAACCAGAGTTAGAATATTCTAAGTTCCATTTACTATTCCATAGCAAAGTAGGCCTACTGATTAACAGAAACTTAGTTAACTCAAGTATGAGTACCAAAATTTGATGGAATTTATTAAAATAGAAAATAGAATGTGTAATAATCCAACAAGAAGTAGAAATAAAAAGGAACTTGGAAAACATAATTTATGGTAGGAAAAGGGGAAAAAGTATAGGGAAAATATTTTAAAAGTACAAAATAAGCTGTTAGAAAATATTAATAAATATCAATATTCACAATAAAATAAGAAACTCAGTAATTAAAAGGACTCAAATCCTGAAAGTCAAAGGGGAGAAGTACACATGGTAGGCATCAACTAACCAAAAAGAATGAAAAATACTGCTGAAGATACGTGAATACTGGATGGAATAGACTTTTGGATTCTAATCATCAAAGATGGGGTAGAAACTACAAAATGATAAAAGAAAATACTAGTTCATTACTTGACAAGATATAACAATATAGTGGCAATGTTCAAAGATAAAAATTACAAAGAGAAATAGACAAATCCACAAACATCTCTCTTGGTTTTTATATGAAACAATAAGACATTTGTAGGGACACTGAAGATCTGAAAACTAAAAATGTCAACCAGATTGAGCTAATAGAACCTTGCTCTGCTCAGCTCCTGTCTCTTCTGAGAGCATTTTTCAGCTCCATTGTCTTCTACAACTTGTATGTCTCAGGAGAAAATGCCAAAGGTGAGCAGTAGGGTGCCATGACATGAGTGCGTGTGCAAATTGTCCAGCAGGAAATGTACCACCTGGAATGCCTAGAGAGTAAAATAACACAGCACCTCACTTCTGTTGCTACTTTCCCTGTAAACTCTTAAATCAGGATATGGCAGCTTCTGGTTTGGGAATTGGCCCAGTTTGAGTAGGAAAGAAAGGCTGATCAAGGCATGCAGAACTGACACAACTTGCAAAATGTATTATACCATACGTAAGGAATATCTGTGATGGGGGTACCACTACTGGATCAATGAAGTTGGTTTCATGTCTGTTCTGAGGAAATGATGGACATGGACTCTGGAGAGGACATAGGTATTTCTATACAGTTTAATGGTAATTTCTTTCAGAGTTCCTTCAAGAAAATACTCTAATGTTTCAAGCTTCCAGATGAGGGGTGGTAAAGCTATTTTTATAAAAATATTTTCATTGATGAAGAAATTGACAAATTGGTCCTAGAGTAGAGAACCCAGAAACAGACTGATAGATATATGAAAACTCGGTACATGACAGAGTTTATACTAAAAATTTAAGGAGAAAGGTAGGGAGAATTCAAACCATGAAAAATTGATTGTTTTCATTAAAAAATAGGATTAGTCTGTTTTGTAACATTTATAGTACCAGGAAAAATAAAGAAAATATGCAAAAGCAAAACAAAGTACTGAAAGAAAATATAAGACAATATCTTTATAATAGGAATGTATTGTTTAGGGAAGGCATACAAAGCACAATGATAAAGAGAAGATTAATAAATTTGAACTACATTAAAATGAAAAACTTCTGCACCAACCACCAAATACGTCATGCACAAAAATGAAACACAAGCTACAAATTGAAGATACATGCATTTCATATATCATTAAAATATTAGTACCTAGTACGGAATATATAAGGAGCTATTACAAATGTAGGAAATAAAGATAAAATAACCCAGTTGAAAAGTGGACAAAGAATATGAACATACAACCGAACAAAAACCGAGAAATTTTCAAATAGCATCAAAGCATTTAAAAGTACTTCACTTCACTTGTAATGATGATCCAAAAACTTCAACAAGAAATAAGAATCCATTTTGCACCCAACAGATTGGAAAACATTTTAAATGTCTGACAATACACTATACTGACAAGATTGTAGAGTCAAGGGCACTCGCATACTCCGTTGGCAGGAGAACAAATTGGTAGAGGGATTTAGCAATATCTACTAAATTTAAAGATGTTCATAGTTTATGACCCAGAATTTACCATCCTAAGTATACACATGAGAAGAATTCTTGAACTGGTACATATTCAGAATTTTGCAAAAGAGTGTATTGCTGGAATTTCATATTATCAACGAAAAAGAAAAATGTATTCTTCCATCAATAGCAGAACGGATAGATCTATTGGGGCACATTTATATATTGGCATAGAACACATCAGTGAAAACTGCTGCTACATGAATCAGCATAGATAAATCAAACAATATTGAGTGAAAAATAAAATAAATTGCAGAAGGATACGTAGAGTGATTTCATTTATATCAAGATTTAAATCTAGCAAAATAATATTATATAATTCTGTGGATACATAAATACCAGTAAAACTCTGCATAGGGTTAAATAACATAAAATTCACGTGAGACTTCAATGCAGGGAATGGAGAGATGAACAGAATCAGGCAGGGAGGACTCAATTTGAGAATATCTGTGTATCTGAAATATCAGAACCAGACGTGGCATTGTGTGAAAACTGAATAATGATTAGTTATGCTTACATAAGTGATCTTTAATTTTGTACTTTTAGCTGTATGTTGGAAACACTCTATAATAAAGATTAACAGGTGAAACCACAAAACCAATTTTATGACGGGGATGCATATTGTTAAAAAAAAGGTCTTCTAAAGGAAATTTGCCATTCCATGAAAAGCCTATGAATTCTAAAGACATTTCTTAGGGTAATAATCTGAGATACCAATAGATTTTTCATTGCTATACAATTTGTATAAAAGCAAAAAAATTCACCTGCCATGGTTGAGAAGTTTATTGAAAATCATTTGGAAGTCATTAAGTACTATAAAAATCTAATGGATGGTGTTTGTCACAGCGTCATTTGGTGATTCTCTTTCACACGTTTGTAGCAGTGTGGGTGTTATGGGTGGAGCCTCTGCTCTTTACTGACTTTAGGACGATAGTGACGCTTTCTGGTCTTTCACTTTCTATGCAGCGTTTTTGTTTTAATTCTCTGAGGTGGTGCTGTAAACACTAGTGAATAATTTGACACATTCTTCCAAGGCTCATATGCAAATTATAAAAGGCAAAAACACTCAATAAAATAAAGTGATTTGTTAATTTAAAATGCTCGTTAATTGGTCAGATAATATAGATTTATTACATATCTGTGAACAAAATGTCTACTTTATTTAGCAAAGAATTTCTTTTGGATCACTCTCCTGATTGCTGTTTTCACATCTTTGTTCCGCAAGCTATAGATAAAAGGGTTTAACATAGGACACACAAAGATATAAAAAACAGCTACAATTTTCCCCTGTTCCACAGATGCCTCAGAAGGGGGTCTCAGATACATGCAGAACAGTGTCCCATAAAAGATGGTGACAGCTGTCAGATGGGAACCACAGGTGGAGAAGGCCTTGCGTCTCCCCTCAGCAGAGCGCATATGCAGAATGGTTGTGAAAATGAACATGTAGGAGATGAGGATGATGGTGAGAGAACAGGTGAGGTTGGAACCAGCCACCACAAACATGGCAGTTTCTTTGACATGAGTATCTGAGCAGGCAAGGACTAAGAGAGGAGGGTCTGCACAGTAAAAGTGGTTGATTTCATTGGGTCCACAGAAGGAGAGAAGAAGCATCAGGATGGTCTGTGCCAGACCATTTGCAAAGCCATAAGCATAAGGAACAGTAATGAGAGAGAGGCAAACACATCTGGACATTTTGCTACCATACAGCAAGGGTTTGCAAATGGCCATGTAGCGGTCATAAGCCATCACTGTGAGCATATAATAATCTGTGATCCCCAGGGCAATGAAAAAGTGGAATTGGATAAAGCAACCAATGAAGGAAATGGTTTTTCTTTTGGATAAAAAATTAACCAGCATCTGAGGAGTGACACTGGTGGCATAACAGAGATCCACGAAGGAGAGGTGACTGAGGAAGAAGTACATTGGAGTATGAAGTTTGGGGTCACTTCTGATTAACAAAATCATGCTCACATTGCCGATCACTGTGATAAGGTAGATGACTAGGAAAACCACAAAGAGGACAGTCTGTAACTCTGCTCGATCTGTCAGTCCCAGGAGAATAAATTCAGTCACTGTTGTGTAGTTTTTCTTTAACATTGTGTTTGCTTGGCTTCAAGTGAGGTCTAAAGTAATGGAAATAAAAATGCATTTGTCTTTTGCCATTTCTCCATCACCCTCATCAAGTCAGCTGATACTTCTTCCTCTTCTCTCAAACTTGTAAAACGTGTGGCAGAAGTAAGCAAGTGACTGATGTTTTACATATGTAAATCAATATAGAGCTCCTTATATATAAAGGCAGTCGTATTTTTAAATGCTTTTCTACAAATCTTTTCGTATTTGAAAAGCCTTTATTTTTTCTGTAAGTCTTTACCATATTTGTTCAATTATAATTTTCTTAAATAATTTCCTTAAACATTGTTTTTCTTTGAAATTGTTATCATTTCTATTTCAGTATACCTTGTGAGGTAGTATCCAAAGCATCAGTCATTGACAGTCATCTGTTTTTCTGAGCTGAATGGATTTAGCGAAGTGGAACTGATATATGGCATATGTTCTTGTAAAACTAGGATCTGTCTACCCGCCCCTGTAAACTCAAGATCATTTTCAATCTCTTCCTTCTCCCTGAAAGGTATGTCCATTTTCCTGCACTCTAGTCTACCTCAGATGGCCCTGATATCACCAGATTTTACCTAACTCTTGAGACTCAGCTCAGGATCTCCTTTGTTTTGTATATTATCACCCAAAGAGCAAAAATTGGTTCACGGGGCACAAAAGAAAATCTTAGTGTTTTATGTATAAAATCAGACATTTATAATACATAAATTATATATCTATATATCTATCCATGTATAGAAAGAGAGATAGATATATACTGCTCTGTATACATACACATATCAGTAGTATTCAATGTTAATGTTTGGGACTGGGGGTGATTAGTGGAAAAATAATGTATTAAAGGGATCCTTGGTGTGGTGGGAGACAATAATGAAAGCAAAGTTGACGAATATCTCTAGATCGTAATGATTTTGTTGTAACGCTACCTCTTTTTAACTCTTGCAAAAATTAAGAAAAAACTCTATAACATGAATTTAATTTAAGTTCCTTGAAACGTGTAAAAAGTCATACTGAAATAACAATCATAGTACCCATACAACTGAGACAGTACATAAGATATCATGAAGTGCATCCCCCAATGTTTGTACAGAATAAAAGTGATCACAAAGACTCTCATGGAAAATCCTACATTTTCCTTCAGTAACACATACCCAGGTATGACAATGTTGTACTGACTCTTGTTAATAGCTATAATACCAAGGATGGAAACGGTCACTTTGTAAGGATCTTTGTAAATCTACCACTCCAGCTTCCTTGGTTATTGCATTTTCCTATTCTGCACATGAGGGCTTCAGACTTATTGACCAGGGTAAAAAAATGCAAGACAAATCACCTAAATCAATAAAATTATTTTGTGTTTTTCTAAGTTTGTAAGATCATAGTAATTGTCATAATAGACAAGTACTCTTGCATGGTGTTTTTAATAAGTATCTATTTACTGAAATATTCATCAACAGTCAAAATAATTAACATCTCCACTTATGTCTTCCCCGTGGAGAAATGAGGTAATGTGAGCAATGAACATGCCATATAATTTAACTGAGAACTTTATGGTAATAATGTTCATTTCAATAAAGAAAACACAGCATCCAACACGATTTGAGCAAAAAAACTTCAGAGAGAAGTATTTGCAAGTGGACAGAAGTGGCTTTGGGAAACCCGAGGCTTTACACTCATGACGTTCACCCTCACCTTGAGAATCTCTCATGTAGACGTTTGCTGCCACTGCCCAGTCACTCAAAGAGTCTAGAATGTTGGTCTTTAGCTTTAATAAGGGTGATCCCTCCTTGTTATGTAGTTGTGGTTCAATTTGGAGTGGAAAAATAAATTTAGAGAAGGCATCTTCATGAAGTGCACTTTGAATTAATTTTAAATAATTAATAAAGACTATATATCTAAAAGTGGCCAATTCTCCATGAAGGGGCTATAGAACATGACATGATATGGTACTTATAATTATAAAGGCATTGTTAACTGGGAAAGAGCCAGAAAGATTATTTAATACCACCCCCTTATTTTTCTTCCTGAAGCAAGAGAGAGTAAGCATTGTTAGTTCTTGAGAGTCAGCAGAGTATAACAGTTATTGGGGTCTGCAGCCAGACTTCCTGGCTCTAATATCCAGGCTCTAATAATCCAATATCCTCTAATTCCTAGCTATGGGGCTTGGACAAGCTATTCATCTCTCTGTGCCTAAGTTTCCTCGTGCATAAAATTTGGGGATTAATAGCAACTCCTTTCATGTGTGGGAGTTAATCCCTGTAAAACTTATAAAATATGCCTGACATGTATTGAGCAATTAATAGATCATAGCTACTATTATTATTTGGTGAAAAGTGCAGGTCTAGTCTAAAACAAGACTCAGCATCAAAGTGTGAGCTCCTTAGGGACACAGAGTTTAATCTATAGCTACAGCTTCAGTGACACCTAGAACAGTGCTTTTCCAAATGGAGGAAATCAATAATTATTGATGGAATGAATGTTCTCTTTGGTCTAGTTCCCTTTCATGATAAATACTACTCCACTGTACATTTGTAAATACTTGTACTCTGAGAGAATAGTAGAATTTAATTCAAGATATTTGCTAATTCATCAGAATATGTTTTGGCACATAATTTTATTTTTGTCGATTAAAATATTTATTTCAGATTCGAAAATATATATTAAAAATACCTAATCCTACCTGTGAAAGAAGAGTGATTTCCCAGTGAGAACATGGATATGAAGAATCTGAAGACTTTATAATGTCATTGTCATAGAGGGACCAAATCCCTATGGTTTAATTATTTCTAGCAGAAAGTCATTCAGACTATGAACAACCACTATCTCTTTATTCTATTGAAACACCTAAACTCATTGAGAACATGATTTTTGCCCAATCTCCAGTATCATCAGGGAATCAAATCTCTGAAGAATGATGCAGCAATGGGATTCATTATTTATTTCAATTTACGCCTGAATGTCTTAACATTTTTTGACTTGGGGGAATCATTAAGTTCTCATGTTTACAACATATAAGATAGAATAATGCATGGTATAGGGACTAAGTTTTGGAGTCTGGAGGACCATTGGAAGGTGAATAAACTTTCATTGAACTTGGACTGGTTATTTGCTGATTCTGAGCCTTGTGCTTTATTTTTCAATGGGAATAATAATAACTATGGAACATTGCAGATATGTGCATAATATGGCTATGCTGGTGATTCTCTCTTTGTCACCCTACCCCACCCAGACCTATTGCATTTCTTCTCTACCTTGCTCTGTCCACCTGGAGTTTTACCCTTAGGGGTCACATCAATAGAGCTCCTTTGGTGTATAGTTTCCAGCTGAGTTTGGCCAATGGGAGAAACCAGCAGGATGCCAGAGGTGGGAGGAAGAGAAAAGTAGCTCAGTTTCTTTCTCATTCTCTCTCAGCTTCACAATGACGGTGCTAGAGTGGCTGCAACCTTCCAAGGAAAACTGTTGAGAGACGAGTTGGAGAGGAAGGTGGTCATGGACTTTCTTCCTGAAGGTATAGCAAACAAGGCCTCCTGGTAGTTTAGATTAAGGATATGAAGTCAAGGGTATGCGATAAATTGAAATAGGAATATGAAATATGTATGAGATATAAAATAAATTGGGAAACTATGCAATAAAAAGAGATTAGTGAGATCAAAGTGCATATTAAGTGAAGAAACATCCCGGATACCAGGTGTTGATTTGGAACAAAGGAGACGGGACGGACAGAACTCCAAGGGACCAGGAGAGGTTCATTACTGACAGAAAGTAAGAAATGAGGTAGAAACTGAACTGAATAAACACACAATAGGCTCTCAAGACTTATATGCTGCTCCAATTACAGAAGGTTTGCCTCTGCTGACAGTGGTGGAACCAGTCTACGGAGACTCATCCATTCTCCCTATTCCCTGATCAACAATTTATGCCGTGATCCACGGCAGTGGTAGCCATGTTTGAGGATCAGGGGTTCTGACTCCATAGCCTATTTAGGGACACCAGTGAGCTCAGACAAATTCTGTATGTGCTAGCCAAGTTAAGGTGGGGGTTGCAAAGCAGCCAGCAAAATATGGTGCATGGCCTTCAAAATATGTTTTCCACTACAATGTCCACTTTAATCAACACCACCAACCACCTGAAGGCATCTCTTGAAAGTCTTCCATCTCTGAGGGAAATAGTAACCTATTTAAACCTCTCTTTTCAAAACCAGTATGTTTTAGGGTATATTTATTTTTTCTATTCTTGGATTTCATGCAATTTATTTCTCTCTTTATACCTGAACAATTATTCTTCTCTTATTAGAGAATACAAAGATAGAAAAAGTTCCCCAATGCAATGGCACTGAGGCAACTCAGTTCAATCTGCTGGGACTGACCAGCCGACGAGAGCTGCAGTCCATCCATTTTGTGGCGTTTCTCCTGATTTACCACATCACCATGACAGGGAACTTTGGGTTGATTTTATTAATCAGAATTAATCCTGGGCTGCAAACCCCTAGCTACTTTTTCCTCACCCATTTAGTATGCATGGATATTTTTTATTCCACTAATGTCTCTCCTCAGATGCTTGTCAATTTCCTATCTGAGAAGAAAATCATTTCCTATGTGGGGTGTCTGATCCAAAGTTTTGTTTTTGTGACTCTGCTCCTTACTGAATATTACATGCTCAGTGCCATGACCTATGACAGGTACATGGCAATCTGCAGTCCCCTGTATTACAGCAGCAGAATGTCCAGGCCACTTTTCATCTGCCTGGTCACTTTCCCCTCCCTCTGGAGTTCTATGGTGGGCACAATGCAGGTAATATTGAATTCTCACTTGTCCTTTTGTGGACTCAACACTATCAACCATTTCTACTGTTCTGACCCTCTCCTCTTAATGTTGACATGTTCTGACACTTACATAAAGCAAACGGCCCTATTTGTGTCTGCAGGGATTAACCTCACAGGTTCCCTACTCATCATCGTCGTCTCATGTTTTCATTTTCATCACTATTTTGACAATCCATTCCAGTGAAGGGCAGCGCAAAGCCTTCTCCACCTGTGGCTTCCACCCGACGGCTGTCACTATGTTCTATGGGGCCCTATTCTGCATGTATCTGAGACCAGCAAATCAGCAGTCTGTTGAACAAGGGAAAATTGTGGCCATGTTTTGCATTTTTCTGAGTCCCATGCTGAATCCATTTATCTACAGCCTGAGGAACAAGGATGTGAAACAGGCTTTGAGAAGAGTGTTTATGAGAAACCTTGGTATAATGGAGAAAAGTTCCATTTGGCACTCTCCCAAAGAATACTAAAAAAAGAATCTCAAAAACGATCAAAAAATATCCCTTGTTGGTGGTGTCTGAATGCAATTTTCTGGAATAAAAATGATGTTCTTTATGTACACATGGCTTGGCATCAATTGAGAGTCCAGTGGAAACAATGAATGGAAAAGAGGTTGGAAATGATGATTGATAGGAAACACAAGAGTGGAAGTCAGTTGTTTGTAATAATGCAGGGTCATGTTTTTAGTCTCACTAAAGAACTCATTTCCACTTGGTTATTTAGCAGATAAATTCTTCCTTTCACTTCCTAGGTCATCAGTATTGAGCATCGCTGAGCCATCTTATCAGCAAAGAAAGTGCTTTACAATATATTTCCTTGGTATGAAAATGACTTACTTTCATACAATATATTACATAGTTTCCTTTAATGAAAGCTGATTATCTTCTCAAAAAATCTCTTATCTCTAATTTTGGATGTTTGGTCTCAATACATTTTTGGCATATTTTTATGTCTACTTCTCTTGAATATAAAAACGTGTTTAATTTTTTCAACAAAGAACCTGATATTTTACATTTTAATAAGCCAAGGATTTGTTTCATTAGTTTCCTTTAATTGAAACAGATACCCTTATTAATGGGAGATAACCATTCCTGATTTAGGATTTTCATGTCTTACTTAAGAAGTTTATATCATTTTGTCCCTACAATATTAACAATTATTTTTTCTATAATTTTATATATCACTTTTCATTTTGTGTCTACTCACAAACTGTTTTAAAATAACCACTATTCTACTATGCATGAATTTGTTTTCAGTGTTTTACAACTAAATAGTAGAATAAGCATATTCTAGATTGTTGGGTACTCTTTGAAACTGGTCTTTATTTAAGAGCATGATGTAACTTAACATTAATATGAAACATTTTTGTACATCACTACCTTAATATTTAGGGAGTTCTTACTTTTCCCTCTTTAGGAAAATATTTATGCATATAAGTCATTACTTCTGATCAGTTATTGTATTCAGATAGATTTCCAGAGATTTATTCTTACTTATTTTTATATTTCTTTCTTTTTGCATGTTGCAATGTGTGAAATCACCACCAGCAAAAGAGTACCCTAGATTCCCTACGTCCTCAAAGGCATTGGAAGCATTCATTTGATTGTGTGTATGTGTGCATATAGCAGATGTAAATTCAATACAGAAAACAGTCATGCAGCAGGTATAATTTATTAGAACTCAACTTTAATTTATTTTACTTTTTCTCAATTTCGTAGTATGCTAGCTACTATGATGGTAATGTTTGAGTTTGAGAAGAAGAAGGAAAAAGCTTTTATTTGAAGGAACTTTCTTTTGAGATGGAAACTTCCTGAATAAAGGAATAATTAGGTTTCCAGATTTGAAAACAGTAGATAGAGATATTCACGTACACCATCCCTCATTCCTAACAAACAATTAAGTACAGCTTTGTTTACCCTTGAAGATCTCAACCTATTCAGAAGCACAATAATTTTCAGGAGAAAAATAATAGAAGCTGGAATTAGGAGAAAACTGGATGACCATCCTGTTCAATACTGTTATAGAACAGGTTTGTTTTTTTTGTGTGTGAGGAAGATCAGCCCTGAGCTAATATCTGTTGCCAATCCTCCTCTTTTTGCTGAAGAAGATTGGCCCTGGGCTAACATCCGTGCCCATCTTCCTCTACTTTAATTGGACGCCGCCACAGCATGGCTTGACAAGCGGTTCGTCTGTGGGCGCCCAGGATCTGAGCCTGGGAACACTGCGCCACCAAAGCCAAGCGCGCGCACTTAACCGCTTGCACCACCAGGCCGGTCCCTAGAACGGATATTGAATCCTTACTTTTTCTTACTTTCATATTCCAATTCTAATATTAATAAATAAAGATCTTTTAATTTTATATCCTGGGATCTGGATGATATTGGAAAAATGCACTTTGTTGTTTGTTTGTTTCTTGATTATAAAAGCAATAATTGTTTGTCATGGGGAATTGGTACACAGATATAAAGAAATTTCACTTTTCCTTAATACTAGTATTTTACAAAGTTATCATAATGTTTATATTGTTGTACCCTTTCTCTTTCATAAAAAGCAGTATAAAATAGTTTGTCCATGTCTTAAGTGAGAACTTCTTCATTTTAATGCCTGTATAACATTCTAATGCAAAATTTGTCATGCAATAGTCTCACTCTCCTTGTGGTCACAGCCAACACACCCTTCCAGGGGTTCTAGTTATTTACAGCCATCATATTGCCCATGCTTAACCGGTTATTGAATGCAGGCGTCCTCACTGTGCACAGTGCAATGGAAACTGAGTTCCATGAAAGCAAAGACACATTTCCAGTCTGTAGATGGTCCAGTTTCCCAGCACCACGCAAAATGAGGGCTGCTCGTGTTAATATATCACTTGTCTCCCTTTTGTCAATTATAAAACAAATCTTAGGAAAATCTCCCAAGTTTCTTATTATACCTTCAGCACGTTTTTAAAATTGGAATAGCTGACTAAAACTGTACAAATATTTTTGACTCTTAAAAATATAAGGTGAAATTAATTTCCAGAGAAACTGTATACTTTTATTTTTCTAACATCAATGTATAAAAGCGCAGTTTTTTGAAATCTCTTAAATATAGATACTAGACAAAATAATATCTCAATTTGTATTTTTGATTACTAACGATTTATTCATTAATTTTAGCATTTTTGTATTTTTATTAATTTTCAGATCATAATCTTTGAAAGGCATTTATATGTTGGTGTTTAATGCTTCAAATGATTTCTATAAACTTACTGTATCTTAGTATTATTATCACTTTATCTTATGTGTGACAAAATCTTTGTCAAATTGTTGGAGCTGCTTAATTTTAAATTATTTTATGGTCATAATGAAGTAACTTTTCTATTGGGAATTTCTCAGTCTGCTATTAAGCTCAGAGACATTTTCTTCTGATTATTGAAATGTTTAATATTTATTTGAATTTTGATCAAATTGTTTTTCAAGATTGTTTTCAGTGATTGAGTGACTCACAGTTGAGGAGTTATGTGTGGGCATGTCAGTTCTTTTGGGGGATTGTTGTTGGCAAAAAGCAAATCCAGATATGGATAAGATTCTCTATTTAGATATCTTTGTTGAAAACTATATTGCATCATGGACACTGGGATGGTACAAAAATAAACATATGTGTACAACTGTTAATAAATAAACAGCATTAATGTGCCAAAGTTATATGCTTTTCTTCTCATTTATAGGTCACCATCACCTCTCCACCCTTCTAGTAAAAATACTTAACTCACCTGTAACCTTTCAGCCCTAAGCAGTCCTCTCTGTGGCCTCCGTGCCATACATCTCCCCATCGGACCCGGGGACCAAGCTATAACAATACAATTAATACTAAAATATTTTTCTACAATTTTCGCATAATTTACTATGGATCTGTATTGAATATGTAGCCACATATGATATTGTATATGTGTGCATATCCTTCTAAATTGAACTATTGTATTCATAATTTCTGAGTTAAAAATATCAGGTAGCTAGAAGCATCTGATTTGCATTCTCCTAATGTAAATTTGAAAGGCAAAAATAATAAAGATGGAATTTCTCTACTAGAAATTGAAACATTTAGGGGGCCTGTCCGGTGGCATATCTTCGTTGGCCCAGAGTTTGTAGGTTCTGATCCTGGGCATGCACCGACGCACGGCTTGTCAAGCCATGCTGTGGTGGCATCGCATAAAAAGTAGAGGAAGAGAGGCACGGATGTTAGCCCAGGGCCAATCTTCCTTGGCAAAAAAGAGGAGGATTGGCATTGGATGTTAGCTCAGGGCTGATCTTCCTCACAAAAAAAAAAGAAATTGAAATATTTCAAATTTACATTAATTATAAGAATTTGGTTTAAAATATGTATATAGATTGGTTAAAGAAAAAACAGAAATGGATTCATTTAGTATACAATGAAGATAACATCACAAATAAATGAAAAGTAACGAGGTGCTTAATAAATAGAAGGAAATGGGTTAAAATGTGAGGGAAAAGTTATATACAATATTACAACATACAACAAAATTGTATCTAGAATAACTCAAGGTATTCCTATAATATATAGCCACAAAAAATCAATAACATAATATAGATACTTGCTTATTTAATTTTAGGATGGAGAAAATCCACAAAGCAAAACAAAAACATACAAAAATTTTCCAAATAGAAATGTAAATATTCTTCATGTGAAGAATTATTGGAAACATTATGAACAGTAATCATCAAGCTGATGTATATATTTCATTTGTTAAATATATATTTCAATTCTTTTTCTGTTCAAATTAAGATAGAAACCTTGCCTAAGAATTTCAGTTGAGACAATAAAGAAGCAAATAATCTTAAATAATATTTCTTAATGTTAATATAAGTACAATGAAATGGTTATTTTCAAATGTTACTAATCATAAGTGTAAATGATTGATGCTTTCTGGAGAAAAATTTACCCATAGAAAAATTTAGCAAGGGCTTTAAAAGTGTTCAAAGCATTTAAGTCACCAATTCCACATTTAGGAATCTGTCCTAGAGAAATAATGAGAGGGATATGGACATCGAGATATGAGTCAATCATAATAACAATAGGATATATTGATATGATGGAATAATGGTTTGCAAGATAAAGTGGAAAAAAATAAACCAAATGCAGAGAACAACTGCATTCTCCTTTTAATAGGAGATTGCAAGTAAATTTTACTTTTATTCCAAAATTGAAACTAATTTTTTTCCAAAATTTAAAAATCTATTAGTATTTTTCAATTTGCTTCTCTACAACTGATATGTATTATTTTTGCAATTAACTTCAAGTATGATTTAATTTTTTGTATCATACCACATAAATAATGTTCACTAAAAATAGTTTGTATGAAAATACAAACATTATACTCTCAAGTGAAAATCAATATTAAAATTTGTATATGGCAAATGATTCTAATTTTGTTTTAGGAATTATAAGAATATATATGTATACCAACTTATTG